AAAAAAAAAAAAAAAAAAAAAAAGAGAAAAGAAAAAACAACGAAAAGCAAGAGCCAACTCACCCCAGATGGGACTCGAACCCACAATCCCTGGCTTAGGAGGCCAGTGCCTTATCCATTAGGCCACTGGGGCTTAACACAAGCCAGTGCGATCACATGTCTCTTAAACTGTGACGCCGCGGGCTCCGTACTGATGTCATATACGAAAGCATCTAGCCTTAATGCCTTTTCCGACTCCGAATCTCCAGCTCTTCTGGATGGAGATCCACAGGGGTCTGGTGGCCTTTCTACATCTAAAACAAGGGCAGCGATTCTCATCTGGTGTAGGGCAATCATCGGGATTAAAACGTTTCGACCACGAAGGGACTCGAACCCTCAATCTTCTGATCCGAAGTCAGACGCCTTATCCATTAGGCCACGCGGTCTCCTCAGTGACTTCTCTTTTCCAGGATACCTATTTGGGACCGGAAGGGCTATTGTACTGGTGGCTGCACGGTGCTAGTGACTCCCAGCAGCAACGGCGTCCGCTCCAGCCTGAGTAGCCGGCATCGACACTTACGCAGCGGGACGGGGCGACACTCGGACCTAACTGTGCGAACCCCCCTTTAATTGGTGGGGCCACGTGGCCTAGTGGATAAGACGTCTGACTTCGGATCAGAAGATTGAGAGTTCCAGTCCCTTCGCGGTCGGTTAACTTTTGGATGAGCAGCACTGCATGGCGCCGGACGCTCCGCCACCCTACCGGGTCGTTTGTGGCCCTCCCTCTCCCTCTCGCCTTCTCGCCTCGCGTTGCAGCGCTCTGCTGGCCTAGCCGTCCCGAGTGGAGGCTCTTCGCGGAGCCGGTTGGAGACGCGGCGCCCGCCCGTGGCCCTTCGGTTGGCCAGAGCGCGACGACTGCGCCGAGGACTTGCGCACGTGTCCTGGCGCGCGCTTGCACCGGCCACGTGAATGCGATCTTTTATCGCGCCCCAGTGGCCTAATGGATAAGGCACTGGCCTCCTAAGCCAGGGATTGTGGGTTCGAGTCCCACCTGGGGTGACGCGGGTCCGCTGTACTGGGCTCTTTTTGTGCCCTGCTAGTGCCCAAGCCTCTGCGGAGCACTTGCCGCCTGCGTCCCCCGTCTCCCATCCAAGTGTCTTTTATCCCTGGAGTCTTGTCTTGGGCTCCGGGACCGCCTCGCCAGCCGCAGCGGTGGCGTCCTGGGAACCCTGTGCGTCCTAAAGATTCCACTGAAGTCGTAACCCATTGTCTACCTAGGAGCTGTGCAAAAACCTTTGGGGCTGCGCAGGCGGAAGCTGCGAACCTACTCAGCTGTGCTTTTCCCTACATGAAAGGTTCTCCAAGCGGAGGCGCCAGGGGACTTCCTCAACCCCCCAGAACCTCCCCCAACGGCACCCCCACCGTGCACTGTGAGTGCAATCGAAGGCCGGGGTCTATTCTTGAGTCCCACAGTGGGAGTAACCAAAAAAACAAAGCCCTTACCCCAGGTGGGACTCGAACCCACAATCCCTGGCTTAGGAGGCCAGTGCCTTATCCATTAGGCCACTGGGGCCTGCGGCTCGCTTCTGCCACCTCTATTCCTTTAATGGGTAGTGCAGCCCGGTCTCGGATGGTCGGGTCCGCGAAGTGCGCGTTCGTGGGCGCTGCGCCGGTGGCCGCAGTGCCAAGCGCCTGCCGGGCGGGGAACCGACCACACTCACAGCGGGACCCAGCGCCAGCTCCGGCCCTGCCCTACGCAGCATGGAGCCCGGGAGCCCCTGGAGGACGCCTGGATCCGCACCACGGACGCTGAGCACCAAAGTTCGCAGGCACTTTCTGCCCACCGCCCTGGGGCTTTTTGTCCACCTCCAAGAACCAGAAGGAGAGCCAAGAATTTTAGGAAAAAGTAGTGTAGAAAGTGGAGGAGTACAAATAAATAGCAACCACGAATAGTTGAAACTTTAACACTGAAAACCCTTCCCATCATAAGAGAATGCACAAATCCAGCCATAATAATAAAAATACATATACATTTCACTGTAATATTTTTTCCTTTAAATTTAGAGTTTAATTCTCCCATACCTTAGGCATATAATATATATTGTACGTTCTTTTGTTTTATAAAAATAAACACATTTTTAAAGGGTTGGACGTTTAAACTCCATCATTAAAATCCACACATGTCTGAAAAATGTAAAAGCAGAAGCTGCAGCCGAGGACATCTTTCAGGTCCAGTTGTGCCTGACTTGAGACCTCGAAGGGTGACTTCGAGACATTCCTCTCTGCTTCTCTCGGAACAAGTGGTCTTTTCTCCCCCGTAAAGCAGCAGGAAGGGAGGATTTAGCTCGCGTGGCTCGGGCCTGCTGCCTTAAGTTCGTGGCTGTCAGGTAGGGACACACAGGCAGTAACTGCAGGTCTCAAGGTGGCAGCGATGCGCTCGTCCCCGCGTTTGAGCTGGGACACTGCCCTTCCATCAAATACACAACATGGGCACAGGAGGCTCCTATAGCTCCCCCAGTCGATAGCCACCTCCCCCTTGCGGACCGTTCACTATTTTTATCACCAAGTGGTTTTGTCTGATTCTCACTAAGTGGAACCAGTCTTTTGTGAAGTCTGCCTTCTTTTCCTCAGCACCGTGTCTTGGAGATTCCCCAGGGTTCATTCTTTTGCCCTTTTTTATAGGGTGGGCTCCACTCTGTTCCCTGCCCCTTTCTTTTCTCTTGATCTCCCTGTGTATCTGGGTGCTTTTCTGGTGCCTTCAGCTGCCACCAGGTGTCTTACCTGCCACCAGTGTCTTCTGAGGGGCTCCCAGGTCGGCCTTGTGCTCCAGGGTCAACTCAGGGGGACTCAGCCTCTGCTTTCCCTCTGCTGCCAGTGTAGCAGTTCCTGTGGTTCTCCTTGCCTCAGTGCTGGATTCGCCCAAGCATTTCCAAAACTCGACGTGTCTCCTGGTGCTGGGTGGCGGATGGATCTCCCAGCGCTGAGCTTGCCTCCCCTTCCGGGGCTCTTTTCCCCCTTTGTGGCTCGCGCCTCTCCCCAGCTCCACACAGTAAACTCCTGTAGCAGAGCTGATGAAGCCAGCCAGCCCCAAGCCTTCCACTCCTTAGTGACTTTGCCCAGTGTACGGCGTCCTCCAGTCACACACAGACCAAATATTCAACGCCATAATCCTTCAGTATCTTGAATTTTCTCTCCATCACTGTTGTCTCTGCCCCAGTTCCTGGTTGGGTCCCTCCCTGCTCATACGGGTCAGTTGGCCAACCCTTGTCTACTTCTCTGCAGTCTTTCCTCGTCCTGTCATGAGCAGGACAGTCATCCCCTAACAGCCTCTGTTAAGAGTAAAATCTAAATGTCTTGGCGTGGTGTCGCAGGCCTGTAATCCCAGTACTTGGGAGGCTGAGGCAGGAGGATCCCTGTGAGTTCAAGACCAGCCTGAACGATATAGCTTGACCTTGTGCCCCTTCCTCCCCCCTCACTCCTCCCAGATGAAGGGGCCCAGAACCAGCCACAGGAAAGCCTAGGAGTTGCCCCTACTGTTCCAGCCTTGCCCTTGGTCCCTCTGGTACCTCCAAGTGACATACCTTTGTCTTGCTAAGCTGGCCAGATCCTCCCCTCCTTGGGGCCCATTGCAAGAATGTCAAGCACAGGGCTGGAGATTTAGCTCAGTGGTTCTGGTGCCTGCCTCGCAACCGCAAGGTCCTGAGTTTGATTCCCGGCACCAAAAAAGAAAAAAGAATGTCAAGTACATCTTTGACCCTCCATCTGGACTAGCTACTCCTTTGCCTCCTGCAGTCTCATGTCATTTACTACACTTTAGGTCATGCTCCTGTAACAGGAACCTGTTTTTTCTTCTCAGTTTTTATCATCACTCGATGGAATGTCAGTTCTCTGCAAGGATGGGCTTGGTGTAGTGCAGTGTCGAGTCCTCACTTCATTACCCAGTGCCTGGCATTCAGTGAGTGTTGCCTAAATTACTGAATGAACTAATAATGCATGGTGCACTTCCTGCCTGTGAGCTGCGGCCTCCTCCTAGACTCTGAGTCCTTCCAGACAGGGAGCCTGTCTTCCACATCTTCTATTTTGCCAAAGTCACTTATAAATGACTTTCTCCCCTTGTCTCGACTCCAGTGAATGATAAGGTCCTTACTCTAGTGAACATACTACTACAGTTTATTATTTGACATTTGGACACTACTATGCTGTAATTATCAAATAAAAAACCAGATAAAAATAACATAGAATAGTCTAAGAAGTTCATCTATACCAGAGCAATCTACGAATGTTATGCTGGCCTGAGTGCCTGTTCCCACACCAAAAGGGCTACAAAATTACTTTCCTGAGCCAGACATAAAGGCTCAATAAAGCCAAACATAAAGCTGACATAAAGGCTGTAATCCCAGCACTCTGGGAGGTTGAAACAGGACTATAAATTTGAGGCCAGTTTGGGCAATTTAGTGACTTAGGGAGACTGTGACAGTCAACTGCTACATCAGCTTGAGTAAGAAAAGCTCAGTGGCTCAGTGTCTGTCTGTGTGTGGCTGAACGGATTAACTGAAGACAGAAGAACCATCCTGGGTATGAGTGGCACCAACCAATAGGCTCATAGCCTGAATGGAATGAAAAGAGGAACGAAGAAGGAAGGCTCACTTCGGTTTCTTTGGAGGCGCTCCGGTCTTTACTGTCTTTGCCGTCAGGACAGCATCTCCTAGCTTCCAGCTCAGACTTTTCTGCCTTCCCTTTTGGACTCTTTGGCCTCCTAATTTGGATGTGCATGGGATACTAGAGTGAGCTCCAGGCCTTTGAAGGGGTCCTTCGGCTCTCCAGCACACAGACAGCTCTTTTGCACTCTTCCACACCTGACTCTGCAGGCAGCCAGTGTAACCCAGGTTTGTAAACCCTTATATATTTATATGTATATTGTATATTAAATGTTTCTCTAGTGAGCACTGATACAGAGACTCTGTCTCCAAAAGGGGGGGGCAGGGAATGTAGTGCATTGTGAATGCCCAGGTTCAATCCCCAATATCAAAAAACAATACAAAACAACCTCAAAACCCTGTGCCAGCTCACTCGACCTCTATGGCGCACTGCCTAGTGTACACTTGAAACAATACTCCTTCCTGCTCAAATCCTCAATGGCCCCCTATTATCTACATTGTGTAAAGTCCAAACCCCATCCTTTAATCCAAGGCCCATCTACCTCCAAGTCCCCTGCTCTTCAGTGCCAGGGACTTTATCACCTCCCATGTCCCAGCCTCTGTCTTCTGCATTCACATTGGTTAAAATCCCAGACGTTTTCCAAGGCCGTTATGGCTTGTATCTAGATGTCACCCCAAAGCCTCCTGCGGTCACAGGTGGGGCTTTTCAACTGAGATGGGGTGTGTTCAGGGCGGTGTGGCTGTAGACTAGGGGGGCTTTTCAGAAGTGGCTGGATCTAGGGTGTGTGATGCTGGGATTACTAAACTAGTCTACTGATTGATTTAGCAATTGGGTATGGGTAATGAGGAGGCCCACTCTGGATGTGTGTGGCACCACACAAAAGGTGGGTAACCTAGAAGAGTTAAAAAGGAGAGGCAGGCTGTGCTTCTGCTGCTGCTTTATTACTTTGCTGCCTTCTGCCTGCCATGAACTGTTTCTCCTCTGCAATGCCCCTCTGCTATGCCACCCTGCCTTCCAACCACTGACTATGGACTGAAACCTCACAAACCGTGAGCTACAATTAAATTTTCCTCCTTTAACTTTGGGTGTAGGGTATTTTGTCTCAGCAACAAGAAAAGTAATTAAGATGAAGGCCCAGCTCAAATGCATGCTTACCTGTCTCAGCCCACCCACCTGCCTGTGTGCATCTGAGAGCAGACCCAGATCCCTCTGTCCTCCCTCAGGCTGTGACACAGTCAGCACTGAGGCAGTACCTGTGGGGCAAATTTCAACTGAGAAAAGGTAGCAGTTTTGAGCCATTCTGAATGAAAAGCAAGTCTATTGTGCTTAGAAGTTTACTGCATAAAACAATACATTCAATGGATAACTCTGATTTGACAATATGGTGGTCACCTATGAAGACCTGCAGCATTCATTCCAAATGAATATTTTTGGGAAGGTTCCTATGTTATAGACAAGCATAAACAGCAAAAATAAAAATGAAAAAGAAATCTCATGGTGTTATGTTTCGGCTCCACCATGATGCCCTGAACTGTGGTCCTTGCCAGCCGCATAGGGTGATTTCAGTCCATATCCACCCTCCTGCTTGTCTTTATAGCAGAATTTATTCTCTTCTGTCTCAGCCTTTCCCGATTCATGTTTTCTATCCTGAAAGCAGAAAGACTCCAATGAGACCCAGATGCCCAATCAGTGCTTTTCAAAGTGGTGAGAGCAGCAAGAGGCAGAGCGGGAAGCTGGTAGCCCAGGCAGCAGGTGCCAGATGGGCACCTGTCAGGGCAAGGTATCTGCTTTCCTGCAGCTCTCCCTCCTGCCTTCGGGAGCTCTCAGGCTCTGTCCAGCCTCCTTTCTCAGCTGTGCAGACTACTTCTGCCTGGATCAGTCTCTGACAGCCCAGGGCATTTTCTCCTACCTGAGCCTGTATAGCCGAGCATCTTCTTTGGATGGCTCCTTGGGCACCTGACTGGCCTCAGCAATCATGTCCCGAATTTTCTGTAAGCAATCTGCCAGATTCCGGAACTGGTAGCGGCTGCTTTCAGAGGTGAGAATCAACTCTCCTGACTTGTTGATCTTATTTTTATGCTGCAGAGAACAAAGGAAAAAGTTTAGTCCCACAGAATACAGGTTTAAAAGCCTCTGAGGAATCTGTAGGGAAAGAAGGGAGGCAGGTGGTTACCATGAGGGCAATCTTCTGCCGCACGGGCTCTGCAATCCAGTCGGCGGTTGCCAAATGGAACCTGACTTCAGCCTTTGAATTCACTGAGAATGGAAGGAGAGAGCACAGGTCACTGAGGTGCTCAGCAAGGTGCGGCACCCAGGGGACCAGTGACCATCCTGACACACAAGGAGGCCAGACACCTAGCCATGGGTGTTCTGACCACAGGCCTGCAAAGACAATGAGGCTCTCTGGGACAAAAGAGACTTCGGGTAACCAAATGTCCAGTGCTTCCCTTACAGTTTTACTGGGTTCTAAGAAAAATGTGGGGAATGAGTTCCGTGAGAATGAAGGAGACCTGTTCTTGGAGCTGGCTGCTGGCTCACACTGTGAGTTCTCTTTGTTTAGCCTCACAAGCCAGTTCTAGCCTTAGCAACCCACAGCTGAGAGCCTGACAATCAGACCACATTCAGAAGAATAAAGAGGATTATTATGAGCTGGCAGTATTTAATATGCTGCTGAAAGATCCCTTTATTCCACATGAGCATCTACACAGATCCCTCAAGCCCAGCTCCCAGCCAAGGTTTAAAGCAAAAGAAAATACCAACAAGCCTATACCTTTGTTAACATTCTGTCCACCAGGACCACTACTCCGACAATAAGATATCATCAAGCGATCTGTAAAACAGAAGAACACGCAGACACACACGAACAGTGATGCTACAGCCAAATGTGCAACTACTAATTTACCATCAACATCTCTATTACACATCTGTCCTTCAATCACACACACACACACACACACTCAGATCTGTAACACTGGAGATTATTTACAGATGTCAAAACTGAGCAAGTGACTTCCCCGAGGTCACCCTGACAGCAGAGGAAGCAAAATCATGACATGGCTGTTTGCTTCTAGTCCACACATTCTTTCTGCCCAAGCTTTTAGCAGTTTGTTATAAAGCAAGGACTCTGCTAAAAGCTCAAACTAAAGGACAGACTTCATTTAATGTACTTCACAGTGTGGCAGATGTGGAACCCCCTGGCCTGGAAGCTCCAGTGGGGCAGGACTGGGTCTGATTGCTTGCTGGGGAGGAGCTGCTTAAGACCACACCCACTCAGGTGCTGCAGAAGCCCCCAGCAAGGCTGCCAAGAAACACTCCTCTGCCTCCAGTTCAGATGTGAGTGACAGGAAGCTTTCTGCCTCTTACCTCCACACGCACCTCTGGGGAAGGCCAGCAACCTACAGAACTTCCTCATTACAGCATAGCCTCAGATCTGCAGCCACAGCCACTGCAGTCTCTGGGCTCTTTTTTGTTTTTATGGGGTTTTTTGGTTTGTTTGTTTCTTTTTTCTCAGTACTGGGGATCAAACTCAAGACCTTGTGCTTACAAGGCAGGCGCGGTGCCACTGAGCTAAATCCCTGGCCCAAAATTTTTAATTTTGAGACAGGGCTTCACTAAGTTGCCCAGGCTGGGCTCAGACTTGTGATCCTCCTGTCTCAGGATTCCAAGTGTTGGGATTACGGACATGCGCCACTGCACCTGGCTATCTCTGGCCCCGCTGCTTCTGTGTCATGCTAAGCAATGGATATGGGGAGCTGGTACCTTAGCTAGTCTCCCTTTCACAGTCTATGGAATTTATAACTCTCTGAGTCTAAAAAGGGCTCATTGTTTCTTTTCAGGCCATACCTGTTAGGCCTTGTGATGCCGGACAGGTACAGAATTCTAATGCAAAGTTTACACGGAGAAGTGTCCTACTCATGTCCCCCAGCCACCAAGTTTGTCTTTTCCTTCTTCTCCCAAACGCAGTCACTGTACAGGTTTTTGTACATCTTTTCAAATATAGATACAGATATATGTATATTGATATACAGATAAATTTCAGACAGACAGACACACACATGAAACACAAATAGTAGCCAATATACCCTTCTGTACATTTCTTTTTTCCCATAACAATCAATATATCTATTGTGAAGATTGTTGCATGTCACAAACATGTCAGCTCTCCATTTGTGTGGCACACTTTGTCATATTTCATGAATGACTGTGCTTTTATTTAGTATTCTAAACAATGCTACAAGTGCACTTTTACGCACCCAGAGGTGGTTTGTTACTTTAATTGGGCTGAAGAAATCTGGAAGGAACATTTGAGGGGTAGTGAATAAGACTGATTTTTTTCTTTTCTTGTGCGTGCGTGTGTGTGTGTGTGTGTGTGTGTGTGGTGTTGCTGGGTATAGAACCCAGGGTCCCACACATTCTAGGCAAGTGCTCCCCACTGAGCTACACTCCCAACCAGAAATGACTGGTTTTTAATAAAATAAAATCACTTACCTAGAGGGATGTCATTGCTGGCTTGTTTTGCATCATCCTGTAATGTAATGCACACAGTATCAAAGTATTAGCTGCTAGGTGACTCCTAACTGGTCCAGAGCAACAAAAAGTAAATGGCACAAAGCCACAGTGCAAACGTAATACATTACTACTTTCAGGTCCCCAGCAAGATCATCATACAGAATGACAAGAGAGCATGCCCAGCCTCCAGAGACGCCATCACAGAAACTCTCCTCCAGGACAACAGAACTGACGTCTCCAGCCTTTCCTGCCCGAGCCTTAGCAAGTGTTGGGTACCCTCAGAGGCCTGGTTTCCCAGGGGGATCAGGAAGACCCCAAAATCAACACCTTCTGCCAACCTGGAGCAATGAGTCTGGTGGGCCACCATGTTACTTGGAGGACCACAGGAGGCTCACATGTGGGCAGCCTGCCTTGAACAGGGCCTGGTCCATCTGCCCTGGGGGTTCATGTCACATTGAACTAGCCATCTTGAAGCAGGACTTAAAAACAAGTCCTCCCCAGCCTTGGGCAGTGGCCCCTCCCAGCTGTAACTCTTTGTTCTGGTACAGAGAAAATTAATAGCTATGTCCTGTAACCAAAGTCTATGACCCTCTGTTCTCATATGATTCAAAAGACACTGTCTTCTTTCAAGGCTAAGTTACAAAACTGTCTGCCCTTATCCTGTTCCAGTAAACTCACTTGCTACATCACTAGATAAACCACCCTTTTTGACAAAATGTATAAAAGCTGGAACTTCTCTTTGTTCAATGCTCAGCCATTTTGGACAGAGTCTGCTGAGCTGGTGTATATACCTTAAATAAATCCTCCTGACTCCCATTTGGTCTCTCCTGTCCCTTGGAATTCTGCAACAACCCCAGGCCTTTTCCCTCTGTGTCTCTCTCAGAGCATTCTGATCTACATCAATGCTCTTTAGCCTTAAACTTGGTAAACACTGCCTCTTCGGAGGCTTTTCTGGCCCTCTAAGCTCAAATCATCTGTGCCTGTACTTTCTTTTTTTCTTTTCTTTCTTTCCTTTTTTTTTTTTGGTACCAGGGATTGAACTCGTGTCCTTGAACTTTCAAGGCAGGCAGCAGAACCACTGAGCTAAATCCCTGGCCCCGTCTGTACTTTCTTTCTTTTTTTTTTTTGGTACTGGGGATTGAACTCAGGTCCTTGTGCTTGTGAGGCAGGCGGTGGAACCACTGAGCTAAATCCCCAGCCCATGTGCCTGTACTTTCTCTGTCTACCTTTATTCCACTTATCATAGAATTATTTGGAGGTGAGATACTCACCCTACTCATCTCTCTGCAGCTTTGAGGACCACAGGCCTGAAGCTTGATCTTCCCCTTCCTCCTGAGCTACCTTCTCCAGATTTTGCTCTTTCTCACTCTCCTTTGCCAGTTCTCTGCACATTTTTTTTGGTACTAGGAATCAAACTCAGGACCTTGCGCTCACAAGGCAGGCAGGCACCGGCACCACTGGGCTAAATCCCCAGCCCTGGAACTTTTATTTTTATTTAAGTATTTTTGGTGTTGGGGATTGAACCCAGGGCCTTATGGATGCTAAGGACACGCTCAAGGACTAAGCTATATCTCCGGCCCTCTCTGCAACCTTTAAACACTGATGTGTTCCTGAAATCCTTCCTCTTCTCTCTCTCTCCTCTTTCCCTAAGAGACTATGCTGACAATTCCCTACCTTCTGGCTCAGACTCAAACCTCTTTGCTCAACTCATCCCATGTACCTAGTTCCTACTTGATGTCACCCTTTAGAGGCTTAATGTATATGCCTTGAACTTCAGGTCTCCTTAAGGGGACTTCCCTTACTAGAAATCTGAAGTAGCCTCAAGTATTCACTAGCACAGTATCTCGGTCAATTCATTATATGGAAACTGAGAAGCTGAAATGGAGCTTTAAAAATCAGGATTTTAGGGCTAGGGATTTAGCTCAGTGGTTCCGCCACCTGCCTCCCAAGCGCAAGGTCCCAAGTTAAACTATTTGTCTAGCTTCCTCATGCTGAGAGCAACAACTGCCACCCCCCAGTTGTGGTGCCAAGGAAGTTTCAATAGAACCAGACTTTCAACATTTTTCTGGGTCCACAGGTGGACCAAAGCCTGGCTGAATCTGAGGCAGGATAGAAGAATAAAGGTAGGTAAAAAAGAGATAGGGAAACTCAATTTTTTGTCTCTCTTATTACTTTAAACTCTGGGCCAGATCCCTGCTAGGCTCTGTACACAGCCATGCTAATCACTTAAGGAGTGTCTGTATTACAAGGTTTTTTTAGTCCTAAATTTACCTAATCTACCCATCCCCCTTCAAAATTGAGGACACCAAGAGAAGAGTGACTGAAGTCATCTTCAGTTGTTTTTTTTTTGTATCGGGGATCGAACTCAGAACCTTGTGCTTGCAAGGCAGGCAGCGGCACCACTGAGCTAAATCCCCAGCCCTAGTCATCTTCAGTTTGTAGGGACACCCACTTGCCAGCTTTCAATGTCCAGTTCCAGATTCTCCGAAGTGAGGCCTAGAAGTGTCCAAACCTACAATTACCTTGGATTCCAGGAAAAGCAGAGTTCTGGAGCCCATCCCCTGGTGAGATCACCTCTCAAGCAGGAACAATTACCCTATGTATGAGGATTCCTCAAGAGCTACAAAACCACAGCTGAGATAGTGACTCACCAGACCCTGGCCCACCTCAGTGAATCCATAAAAGTGGGCCTGTGCCAATGATGTAAGTCAAGAACCTGTTCAGCGGGCCAAGTTGAGGTCCCCATCTCCCCTTAGAAACTTAGTGACTTAGCAAGACCTTATCTCAAAATAAAAAATTTATAAAAGGGCTGGGACATAGCTCAGTGCAAAGGCACTGGGTTCAATTTCCAGTATGGAAAAAAAGAAATCCTCTTTGGAGGACCTCCTTGGACCTATCTGGTGACAAATACATATACAGTCTTTTCCTGGCTTTTATCCTACCCCTCCGATAAGTTAATGTGCTTCTGTGCATTCAGGAAAGGATGGACTATATCTGTCTTCATTTTTCCACTTTTATGGGTTTTCCTGTACTCAGGCAAATGAACCCAGATAGTAGGGGCCCAGCTTCAAGCCTCTGGCAGTGTCCCCAGTAACAATATGACTTCTTACTACTTGATGTTTTCCATCTTTGTTAACTGAAAGCCCCTCTCACTAGAGTGGAAGTTATAGGAACCAAGGATCCCATCGGTTTGACAATTATGGCTGTGGTATACAGTAAAGTTTTGTTGAATGAATGAACAAATGAATGTTTTTCCCACTCTCTCATTTTAATTAATGGCAACTCTATCCTTCCATTGTTCAAGAGCCTAGACTTCAATTTTCTCTTATTTTTTTCATATCCAGCCATTAGCAAATCCTGTAGGTTTTCCCTCAAAATATGTCTAAGATCTGACCAATTTTCAAGAACTATTGCTTCCACCCTGTTTATCCTCTCTGTCCTGTATTATTGCAATCTCCTAACTTGCTGCCCTGCACTTTCAGTCCTCCAGGCTACTCCCTGTAAGGCTCCGTAAGAGTGATTCTACCAGGTATGGTGACTCATACTTGTAATCTCAGCACTCTGGAGGCTGAGGCAGGAGGACTGCCATGAACTCAAGGCCAGCCTGAACTACATAAGTGAGACTTTGTCACAAACAAACAGAATGATCCTTGTAAAAGTAGGTTGCATTATTCCATTTTTCTGTCTGAAATCTTCCAATAGCTCCCCACTGCAGTCAGAGGCAAAGTCAGAGGCCAGTAAGCCTCTCTATAAACAGTCCTTTCTCTGTCCACCTCTTGCCTCTTTAGCTTCACCTCCTCTGACTGCCCCATGCAGCCACACCAGTCCAGCATGTTACTGCCTTAAAGAGGTTGCAGGTGTTTCCTCTGACCTCTACCTGGCCGTTTGTTTCCCCAATATCCTCACAGCTGTTTTGCTTCTTCCAGGTCCTTACAGGAATGTCACCTCCTCACTGAGGTGTAGGGGGTCCCAGACCACCCTACACTGCAACACTATACTCTAGTTCTAGCACTCCTTATTTCTGGACTTTACTTTCTCTAAAGTACCATCTTACACATTCTAAATTACTTTTTTTTTTTGAGGTATGGTCTCAATTTATAGGTCAGGTTGGCCCTGAACTCACTTTGTAGCCCGGGTTGACCTCGAACTCCCAGCAATCCTCCTGCCTCAGCCTCCTGAGTGGTGGGATACAGACTTGCACCACCACACCTGGTTCTATATTACTTATTGTTGCCTGTCTCCTTTCAGCAGACTACTAGCTTCACAGCATTGGTTTTGGTTTGGATACTCTATGCCTAGGATAAGGAACACAAACTCACTCCCAAAAGACATTTGTCAAATGGGTGGCACAAGATGTAATCACAGCACCTGGGGAGAGGCTGAAGCAGAAAGATTATGAGTTCTAGGCCAGCCTCGGTTGGTTACAAAGAGAGAACCTGTCTTTTTCTTTTTTTCCTTCTTTGGCTTTTTTGACATGGGCTCTTGCTATGTAGTTCAAGCTGGCCTTGAACTCACTATGTTGCTTAAACTCACAGGACTCCTGCCTCCACCTCCCAAGTGCTGGGATTAAAAGCATGTGCCACCAAGCAGGGCGAGAGAATCTGTTTTCAAAACAAAACAAAAAACTTGTAGAATGAATGAATAAACACTATATTCTCCTCCAGTCCTGTAGACGCAAGGTCAATAGAACGAACGGGGTGGATTACGGTTCCTCTCCCCCGTTGTGGCCCGAGGCAGTGCCTGCACACAGTGCTAAATAACTGTATCTTGAAGGAATGAACAAGAAGCGCCCCCGTTTTGGGGGTTGGCAGAGGCAGCGGGCCGTATAACGTTCCAAATGTAGCAATTTGCCAGGCTCTGGCCTCTACCGTCCACTTTGCAGGACCAGAATGCCCACATTTTCCCTTGAAACAAGCGTATGGGGGGTGAGGACCAGGAATACGCAGGAAAGCTGCTGATATTGAAAGAAGCCTATCTACCAGGTTGTCCCAATACCCCAGTACCAAAAGCCACACAGGCCTCACGACATCCCTTCAATCCCAGCTCTCTCCCGCGACAAACGTCGCGTTCCGCCCACGGCGACCCCCCACGTAGCTCCACGCCGGGCCAATGGGGCCCCGGCTTCCTGACGTCACCCAGCAACGGGAGGAAACGCCCCTTCCTTCCTCTGTCCGGCTCACCGGGATCTTCCAGGCGGTGTCCGAGCCCTTGGACTCCGGGTAGAGCTTGTCCAGACTATAGATGCTCTGGAACTCGGTGCCGTCTACTTGTTTGTGCACAGCCCGGCGAGGGCAGCGTGCGGGCAGCCGAAGCAGCCGGGCTCCGACTCTGCTCAAGGTCCATCTCAAGCACCAGGTGGCCGCCATGTTGGGTCTTGAAGCCTCTTCCGGTGTGCTCTCTTTCCCCCTGGCCCGTAAGGGCACATTGCTGTCCGTTATTTGGTTCCGCGAGGCTTTTAAGTCCCGCTTCCGGGAGACGGCGAACAAGGCTCTTCCCGGCGGTGCTCCGGGTCGCCTGCCTCAGGGAGGCCACGTTGGCTGGGGCGGATCAGACAAGGGCACCTCTCAGTGAAAAAGAAGTCCGGATCGCGTGTGCCTTAACAACATCGCTTCTCTTCCTTTCTGTCGGTTCCTTCCTACCCAACACCCAAATTAAACACACCAGTAAGATCTTCTCTACTCGGCTTTGGTTAATTCCCACCCTCCTGCTCTCGCTCCTCGTCCTACTTTTAATGCTTTGCTTTAAGTCCACGATTTTTTAAAAACTATGTATTTTTTGGTACTGGGGATCGAACTCGGGATCTTGAGCTTTCGAGGCAGGTGGTGGAACCACTGATCTAAATCCCCGGCCCAAGTCCACGATTTTTGTTTTTTATTTTATTTTATTTTATTTATTTATTTTTGGTACCGGAGATCGAACTCGGGTCCTTGCGCTTGTGCAGCAGGCGGCAAAACCACTGAGCTAAATCCCAAGCCCTGTTTTTGATTTTTAAACAGTCTGGCTATGTGGATCAGGCTGGCCATGAACTCACTTTGTAACCTAGGCTGGCCTCAAACTTGTGGCAGTCCTCTTGCCTCAGCCTCCCAACTGCTGGCATTACTAGGCATGTGCCACCATGCCAGGCCCACGAATCTTATTTTTCTAATTTGATTGCCCGTCTTCTAGCTAGAATGTAAGCTCCAGGACGTGATTGGCACATTGCTGTATCCCAAGGATCCAGTACTCGGTGCATTGTGGGCACTCCACAAATACTGACCAAGTGAATTCCGTGGGAATGTGTTTTTTGAAAGTTGATTGCAGATAGATGGGCTGGGGAGGGCAGATAAAGCCGAGTGAGAGCTTCAGGTCTGAGCACAAGATGGCCCATGCCCCCCCCACCCTCCAGCAGAAGTGTGGGTTGGGAAGGCTCATGTGTAGTGCTGTGCAAAAGGGGAGGCAGGTCACAGATGGAAATGTTTCCGAAACGCCGACCCCCCCCCCCAGCTTTACTGAGTAAACAACTCAGTAAAGCTTAGTAATTATTAGTAATGCTTGTGGTTTCTTAATGGAGAGTTCTATTTTTAGGAAAATGCATAATTACCTAGGAAAATGTGCCCCTGGGAGATTTTAACTATCCCTTGGGGATCCTAGCTGATGAAACAGGAAATTGTCATTGAGTCAAGCCGTTGCCATCTCAACATCATTGAGAGAAGAAACCATTTTATTCTCTTTGTAATCTCCTTTTGAGTTGTAGGCTGGAAGGAGAGTCTCCTGGTTTGTGCCCTGATTTAGTCCCAAGATCCCAGAGGAAACAGAGACATCTCCATGGTGACTGGAATAAGCTGCTCAGAGAAGCAAAGCCAGGTGCTCGCTCAGGTCTAGGGCTGAGGATTATGAGTAATAAAGTCAGAGCCTTTCCAAGGCATCTTTGCTCTCAGGCTGGGCTCCAGCCTGCACCTGACCCAGAGCCGCAGGAATAGGAAGCTGCAGATTTCCATGGCCCCAAATAAACACAGCCTGCTTAGGCCATCTGGTGGCCTGGATTCTGGGAAAGATGGGGGTAGAGGAAAGAATGAGACAAGCTGCCCTGCGGTGGAGAGAAGAGCAGCTGGCAGGCTCCTCTCACCTGCCCATGCCAGGAACCACCCAGAGTGGGGGCCCTGCTGGGAGAGGGGCCACCTGTTCCTTTAGAAAAGCAGGCCCTGAAAGGGAGGCCAGAGTTCTCCTTTCCCTCTTGGTCCTCCATAGGTTGAGCTGGTGCCCCAGGAAGGGAACATTCATGGGAGAGAGAGAAAGGAGAGAAAGAAAGGGTAAAGAATCAGAATCACTAAGACATTCCTGGGAGCTGAGGACCTTGCAGACACCAGCCCTTCTCTGTGGCCTGTGTGTTGGGGTACACCTGGTGTGCGGAAGGCTCCGTGGAATTTCCCTTTTTTTTCCCCCCAGTACCAGGGATCAAACTCAGGACCTTGCGCTTGTGAGGCAGGTGAGGTGCCACTGAGCTAATTCCCCAACCCAAATTTCCCTTTCTTTTTATCCCCGAGTGCCTTAGATTAGAGGCTTTTCCCAGCTTAACATTATGTGGACATAGGGAATGGATGGCCAGGCATAGTGGAATCAGCCAGGCCTGAGTTTGCATATTTCTGTGATCTTGAATTATAACTTGCCCTCTAAGTCTCCATTTCCTGATCAGCAAAACAGATTTTATAGCTGCCTCATGAAATTCTTGAGGGTATTGAACACAGGTAAAGCACTCAACACAGTGACTGGCACAAAGTCAGCATGCACCAAAAATTAACTGCCACCTTCTTTTTCTTTTAGAGTCCTGCTGACTATTAGCTATTTTCTCTGTAGTTCTGGGGTAGAAAATCCAGTCTGACTACGTAGCTCTATCCTGACCCTTTTTCCTGCTTTCCACAGCATGCTTTCTGGCATGAGTGAGTTGGCAAAGCTGCCCCTACTTCCTTTACCACTAGCTTGTCTGTCTGGTTCACTGAAAATAGCCAACCCCTGGGGCTTTCAGCCTAGTTTTGGGTGAGGGTCTAGGTGGGCCTGGGTGGCCAATTCCCCCATCATGGTGGTTCTGTGAGTTTGGCCTTGGAAATGGGGAAGGTGTCAGTTCAGCAAAGGAGATAGCTGGAGAACCCGGGAGGCAGCAGGGAGTATCTGCCAGCTAGGCTCCAGGTGGTGATCAGAAGGGAAGAAGGGGCAGGAGAAAAGCCAAGGGAGAGGACAGAGAGGGCTGAGAGTGTAGATTAGTCACACAGCACTTGCTGAGCATGTGTGAGGCCCTGGGTTCAATGCCCAGCACCACAAAAACAGACAAATGCCAAGGGAGCAGGGAGGCTGGTTATAAATGGCTTCGGAGAGCTTTCCTTGCTTCTCCGTTCTGACTGCTCTGTGTGAGCAGGTAGAGAGAGGTCCACCAGCACAGGGGTGTCCTTTGAAAGGAGGGGTGGGTGGGTTGGCAGTGTGAGTGACAGCAGATCCCCCCCCCCCCCGCCCTGCCCCGCAGTGGTAGGGATGGAGCCCAGGGCCTCATGCACACTAGGCAGGTGCCACCAAGCTACTTCTTCAGCCTCCGAGGTGGTCCGTTGATCCAAACCCACAGGCATGTTTCTGGGCCTCAGACATCTACACTTGGGGAGACTAGTCTGTCCAGACTTGGAGATGCCAAGGTGGGGCATGGGAAATTTTAAAAAGCACACTTATTTTACATCGAGGTAAACAGAAAACCCAAGGATTTTCTCAGCTCATCTGCACCAAGAGAGTGGAATTGCTGAAATGTTGGAGGTGGCAGGTCCCAGATGACAAGCTCATCTCCATACCCCAGTGATATGGGGATGAGACAGGTCTCTCTCTGGGAAAGGGTGGGAATTGTGAGGTTCTTTTAATGTATACTGAAAAGAAGATGGAATTTCTAAAGCCCAGAACACTAGGAGATGGCCCTCTTCTTACTTTTTTTTTTTTTTTTTTCAGGCAACAGGGTCTTGTTGTACAGTTCAGGCTGGGCTTGAACTCCTGGCAGTCCTCCTGCCTCAGCCTCCTGAGCACTGGGATCACAGGTATGCGCCATCACACCCGGCTCCTCTTCTCACTCTTATGACTCTCCTATATCCCTAGTGGGCAGCACCCCAAAGACTGGCCTGCCTCCTCCTTTGTGGTCCCTTAGGGCATCAGCCTCCTTCTCCCTCTCTCTGTACCACTCAACCTCCATGTAGTGGTCTGGGAAAGCTTTTTAAACCACAACTGCCCCCTTTATACAGGCTCAGAAACCCTGCCATCACTTCTCATTGCACTCAGGAGGCCTGAGCCTTCCCCTGGTCTACAGGGCCCTCATGAGGCCCAGCCACTTCCTAGGCCTCACCTTCTTCCCCCTGCTTGCTTCCCAGCCTCTGCTCTCAGTTAAATCCTCACACCATGCGGATGCTCCTGATCAGTCTTGTTCAGCTTCTCAACCTTCTTTGTTCATTACCACACTCCCTGTCTACCTGGGAAGAGCCTATAGACATTTTTTTCTCCCAGTTGTCCCCCCTCCATGATTTTTTTCCTCCAGGACTGGGGATTGAACCCAGGCCTTCACACTGGCATCCCTAGCCGCTTTTAAATTTTTTGGAGACAGGGTCTCACTAAATTGTTAAGTTGCCAGATTGCCCAGGCTGGACTGGAACTTTTGATCCTTCTGCTTCAGTCTCCCAGAGTGCTGGTATCACAGGAGTGTGTCACCATGCCCACCCCCTCCCCAAAGTTTTTATAGTGAAAAAAGAAAGTGTGTATTTAGCATGTCAGCTAGACTCAAGTTTAGCGATCTCAATTTTGTTGGCAACATCCACAGTGTCATAATCAGTCAGCAGGTGCCTTCTTCTCTCCACCAGGCTCGATGCATGTTGCCCTTGGCCTTGCTGTCATTGAGCTTTTTCACAGCCTGTGTGACCTGGTGCTTATTGGCCTTGGCAGCCACAAGGAACACAAATGTGCCGTCTTCTGTCTTCTCCATGTTGAGTCCCAAGCTGAGGGGACTTAACGGCACAGTGCTCAAGCTGCTTTTTCCCAGGGCTGCTCTTCTAGCTTGGGCAGCTAGAAGATGAGGCACTGCTGATCTTTTCCTGTGGCTGGGGCCACTTCTCGGCGTACCCTCTTGGAGTCCAAAGGCTTTGCTTTGGCTTCAGCTTCAGGAGGAGCAGGAGCTTCCTTCCTTTTGGTGCCATCATGGTGAAAAGGCCACCGTGAGATTTTAACACCATAGGTACACTGTATGTCTCTTTATCTAGGATATGTATTTTAGGTATATGCTATATTAACTGATATAATTAGATGATATATCTAGTAGACATATATTATATATAATATATACATACACATCTAACATATACACACATATGTACATATAAGATTAACTTTTTTGGGTTTTTTTTTTTGGTACCAGGGATCGAACTCGGGTCCTCGGGCTTGCGCAGCAGGCAGCGAAACCACTGAGCTAAATCCCCGGCCCAAGATTAACTTTTTGAAAGGACCCAAGTTCGATCCCTGGTACCAAAACAAAAGATTAACTTTTTGAGTCATTTCTTCCCTTGTAGTCCAGGTTGCTAAACTCACTACGTAGCCCAGTTTGGCCTTAAACTTGGGACCCTCCCACCTTAACCTCCCAAGTGCTGGGAGTGCTAGGTTTACATTACCACACCTGGCTGAAATTAATATTTAAAAAATTTTTGTCCACCCCGTTGGGCACATGTGCTCTAGGGATGTAGCACTATCTTTTGCCCCAATTTTCCTATCACCCTTTTTTAAACTTTTTAAAGCTGATTTTGGGGGGAGGAATCTCCCCACACCAGAACGTGAACTCCAAAGGACCGGGAGCCAGAGACCTCTGGGACCCTGCCGTATTGAGTTGTTCGGAGGGGAGCAGGGCATGGCTGTGAACTTGGGGGGGGCCGCTCAGCAGCCTCACAGGTAAGGCCTCCGGGGAGCAGAGCTCAGATCCTTCCCTCCTCCCCTGCAGTGCATGGCAGAGGGCAGGCACATGAGACGCACAGTCGTTGGCTCCAGGGCCATTTATGCTTTTAGAATACTGGTACACTTTTTTTATTAAAGAAGAGAATAAAGCATTTGTAAATATATTTCCTCTTGTGTACTTCAAAGGTGACGCTGGTTGGCTGCTACAGAGCTGGGGAGTGAAGAGGCCAGCGCTTCCCCTTCCCCCATCTCCCCCAGATGACAGACACACATGGAGGGCCAGGAGCTGCCCAGCCCCAAGGACATAAAGGTTCTAGGTTGCACAAACAGAAAGACGCAGCCGCCAGCTCACATCACAGTGCCGCCAGGAGCATGGGTGCATCTCCAGGGCTGTCAGGCGTGCTTGTTAAGAAAACCCCTTTACCCATTAGAAATAAATAAGGCATGAAGGTTCCCTCTGGGCTCCCAGCACAGAGGCCAGGGCTGCTGCCTTCCACCGGATTGTACGGCTCCCCTGATTTCTAGGGTCCCAGGAAGGATGGCAGGAGGAACCAAAGCCCTGAAGGGCTGCAGAGGGTAAGCTGGGGAACTGGGCATCTCTCAGCTGAAGTCTGACTCTATGAAGCCTTACACCAAAAGACCGACGCCCCGATCAAGCTGGGGCCTCAGAAGCCTCCACAAAGGTAGGAGGTAAAGAGCAGGCATTTTACAGGAGGGAAGGAAGGAACTTGTTCCTTATCCCCATCCCAATTCAGTACTATTCAGTGTGGGTGAAAATCTTGGCCAGACCCCAGCAAAGAGGATCAGGGATGGACACTGGGGTCGCTGGCTGGTGGCACACGCCCAGGACATCCTGGGGGCTGCAGATGGGGCCTGCATCAGGGCTGGCCTGTAGCCAATGTGGAGTGAATGAGACATCATGGTCCCTGAGATGGGGACAGGTACAGAGAAGGGAGGCAGAGGTGGCGTTGGCGGACATGGGGTGGGTGTTCCCTCCATCCTGGCCCCTGGAAGGCTTATCTCCAGAAAGCACTTCTGGGGCTGGAACTTGGGGAGGCTGGCTCTGAGGGAAATGGGGGTACCCCTTATGTATGGCTGTCAAGGGGCTCCTTGGACCCCTCTTCTGATTGGCTATAGATCTGCAGTGGGCCGGGGGTTCTTGCCAGGGTTGGAGTGGGGCACTCAAGGCCAGGGCCAGGCTTCCTGCTTTGGAAAGCAAGGGCCATCTGTGACCTGCTCAGGACTCTGGGGGAGGGACAGGTGGTGTGTTAAGGGAATGACAGCGCATCACGGCTGGCACAAAGCAGTGGGTGGTCCAGGAGACCCTAGGAACCTGCAACAGTTGGCTCTTGGGGTTCCCTTTCAAGTGTTTCCAGTTGTGGCAAGCGGTCAAAGAAGACCTTGCATTGCAAATCTTGCAGAAAAGCTGAATTTGGAAAAACAACAACAACAAGAACAACAACAAAAAAGCGAGCTCATCCGGAATGGCTTCCAGAAGCCTGGCCCCATCTGAGGATGAGGCCCAGGGTCTGGAAGCCAGAAGCAGGGAGTGGTGGGGAACCCCAGGGTAGTGGGGACGTTTGGCTTTGAAACTGAGCTGTGCCTTCAAGCGGAAGTGGGTGGCCTTTTCCATCCATCAGGCGGAAGTGGGAGACCAGAAGCATGGAGCGTCCCCAGATCAGAAGGGCTTTGTTCCTTGCACACTGATGGAGAGGCCACCTGCTGGGATATATTGCTGCTAAAGGACTCTCTTATTTGCCACAGGCTGCGTGGTTCAACCATGAGGGACCCCATGGCCTGGAGCCCAGAGAGGATCAGGCCACGAAAGGGTCACTTGCTGCTGTGTGTCTTGACTTTGGTGGCATTGATGTCAGCCTTGGTCTTCTGGATCCTGGCAAAGATCTCCTTGAAGAGCGCCTTGTATTCAGGCTGGCTCTGCTCCAGCCGCTTGTCCACGGCCTCCACGTGCTGGCTCAGGCTCTTCTCCCCCGTCCTGGCCTCCCCCTGGCTTTCCTCACCCCCGCGAAGGTCCCTCCAAGAGCTGTCTCGGGAGATGGGCCTTGAGGTCTGCACGCCTGCGTGCCGCACCCCCGCCCCGTGCTGCCGGCACTTGCTCAGCAGCTCTTCGTACTTCTCCAGCAGCGCGTGGTACTGCTCGTCCACCTCCCGCAGGATGGACATGCCGCGCCTGCGCACGCTGTTGGCGTGAAGTGCGAGGTTGCCTGCGTGCCGGCCGGCGGGGTCTTTGGCCACGATGGCGTTGAGTGCCGTGTCGCTGCAGCTCTTGCGCACCGCGTGGCCTGGGGAGGCGGTGGGCGAGGAGACACCGTCCTGAGTGCCACAGTCGCCCCCGCTGCCTGGGTGGGGGTCGTCAGCCTCAGGGGCCTGAGTGAGTGGTGCCAGCAGTGCCTCGGCCAGGTGGTCATCCCGGCCCAGCAGGTAGGTCTTGGCCTGCTTCATCTGCTGCAGCTCCAGAAGCTCGGCTTCCAGCTCCTGCACGCGAAGGCGGCAGCCCTCCATCTCGCAGAGCTGCCGTTCCAGCTCCGTGTACTCCTGCAGCACGGCCGTGTACTCACGCTCTGCCTGCTCCTTGCGCTGGCGCTCCTGGCTCACCTGGGATCTCAGGACCCCCACCAGGGTCTTCAGCCGCTCATTCTCCTGGTCCAGGGGTCGAGGGCCCAGCTCCAGGGAGGAGCTGTGGAGGCGGAAGGCATCCTCACACCTGTGGGGCAGAGGGGAAGGTTGTCACGGGCCAGGGCTTCCAGCCCAGCCCCAGACACCCGGCTGGCTATTCTGTCTGCGCTCCCAATCATCCTTACCCCTCTGGCCCTGTAGGCTGACCATGGCGATGGCCTCAGCCAGCGTTCCTGCTGTCTCCTAGCTCTGCAATGGTAAACAGGGGTGTTTTCTCCCCAGGTCTTGTCCCTGGATGGTCCAGCCAGGTAGCCCTCTGCATACCTGCTAACTTCTGGTAATCTCCCTCACCTGGCCTAGGGATGGTGCAACCCTACGATGCTATGGTTTCCATACAGTTGCCCTCCTCTGTTAACCTCCCTTCTGTTATTCTGTCCAAGAACTCTATTTTTTATTTTTGTTTAATTTGGGGGTTTTTTTTGGTACTGGGGATCGAACTCGGGACTTTGTGCTTGCAAGGCAGGTGCCGCAACCACTGAGCTAAATCCCCGGGCCTCTATTTTTTATTTTTATTTTTTTGGTTTTTGAGACAGGGTCATGCTATGTAGTTTAGGCTGGCCTTGAACTCGTGCTGATTGTCCAGTCTCAGCCTCCCAAGAGCTGGGATTACAGGTGTGCACCACCACGCCTGACTAAGGACTGTATTAAAACACCCACTAAATACATGATCTGAGCTAGGTGTAGAGATGCATACGTGTAATCCCAGTACTCTGGAGCCTGAGGCAGGAGGATTGAAAGTTGGAATTAAGTCTGGGCAATTTATTGACTTAGTGAGACTCTGTCTCAAAACTTAAGAAAAGGGATATAGGGCCTGGGATATAGCTCAGTATGAAGGCCCTGGGTTCAATTCCCAGTACCACAAAATAAAATCTGTCCCCCCATCCCACGGTGCTGGGGATTGAACCCAAGACATCATATATGTTAGGCAAGCACTCTATCACGAGCTACACCACCAGGCTGCATTTTCTCTCTTTTCCTTTCTTTTCTTTTCCTTTTCTTCTTCCTCTCTTCTTCCTTCCTTCCTCCTTTCCTTCCTGCCTCTCTCCCTTTCTCCCTTTCTTTCTCTCTTTCTTTCTTAGATTTAATTGGAACTGAAAGGTACAGTGCTTTAACCATTCCTGCATTAGAAGCCTGGCCATGCCTCTTACTAAACACATGACGTTGGATAAGACACATAACCCATGAGCTTCAATTTTCTCATCTGAGTAGTGGTCTGAACAAAACACACTTCGAAGTAGGTGATACACGTTAGATTAGCCCCGTAGTGGCGCACAGCCAGTGCAGCTGTTGTAACTGCCCTAGAGACAGCCTCACTGATGATCTGAACAAGGCCCCGCCCTTCTTCCCACCTGCTGCCTGGTGTCCATCTCCTCCTTCCTCCCCCGCATGGCAGTCCCAGGACTCCGAGACACCAGGCCCTCACCTACCGTGGGCTGGTGCACAGCTCCTTGAGGCAGGGGAAGGTGTGGATGGTTCGCCTGCGTTCCCGCTTCTCCCGGCGCACACGCAGCTGCTCCAGACCCCGAAGCTGCTCCACCTGGGCCTGTAGCTCCTCCACCTGGGCCTGCAAACGCTCCACCGTTTCTGTCAGCCTGGAGTTGGGGTGTGGGGGAACACATGGGGTTTTTTTCTTTTTGCAGCACTGGGGATTGAAGCCAAGGCCTTCACAGTGGGCTACATCTCAGCTCTTTTTCATTTTTTAAAATTTATTTTTCTTTTGTGGTACTGGGGATTGAACCCAGGGCTTTTGCACTGAGCTACATCCCCATGCTTTTTAATTTTTTTTTTGAGACAGAGTCTCACTAAGTCATTAAACCCAGGCTGGGCTTTAACCTGTGATCCTCCTGTCTCAGCCTCCCAGAGTGCTGGGATTATAGATGTGTGTCACCACAACTGGCTATGGGAAAAGTTTTAAAAGGACAGCTCTCCTCACTGCAGCCCTGGCTCCCTGTAGATGAAGGGACATGAGGCTGGCGACAGACGGGCAACTTCGGGCTATTCTGTCTGAAGTCAGGTAGGGAACTCTCTGCAGCCCTAGGAGCTACCCTTCTTCCATATCTCCCAGGCCAAGCTGATCACTCCTCACGTGGCCCTCTCAGTTCCTTGTACACTCCTCTATCGTGGCACCCTGCATCTCTGCCTACTCTCAGCTCTGAGCTCCTGCAGGGCAGGGCAGTCTCTGCATCCCCACGATTGTATTCCCAGTTCCTAAAACCTGGTACCTAACTGGTAGTTAAAGAAGGGTTGAGGGCTGAATGTCAAGCCATGCAAAATTGATAAGGGCAAACTACCATCCCAGGGTCCTCATCCTGGGCCACTGGGAGAAATGCCTAAGACCCCCCGGCCCCCAGTCTGTATAGCCAGGGGTACCCAGGCCCAGGCCTTCCTCTTGCCCACCCAGCCTCAGGCCAGCCCTTACCCATGGATCTTCTGCTGGGCAGCCTTACTCTCCAACACTAGCCTCTGGTTGGTCAGTTCCAGGTCTCGGGCTGTCAGGTCCAGCTGCTCATACACTTTGGCGTGCTGCTCATTCACATGCCGCAGCATGTCCAGCTGCTTGGTTAGGTACTAGGGGGCAAGGGGTGGACTGGAGTAAACTTTAGAATGGGTCAGGGGTAAATGTTTCCTCCCACTCGTAGAGACAGAGGACCAATAGGGCTGCCCGGGATAGTTTACAGGTTATGACCTGCTCAAGGTGGTTGGACCAAGCCTGTGTCTACTAAGAGGGTACCTTTTGCAAAGTTGCACAAAGGTGCATCCAGGCCAAGGGCACTTGATGGGTAGGGGGAGCCTTCACCTCAATCTCTTGCACTTGCTCCTCGTTGGTGGAATACATCTGCTGCAGGGACTCCTCCAGTTCCTTGTTCCTCTCCAGCAGCGTCTTCCCCAGCTCTGCAGCCAAGTGCAAGTCTAGAGAGGGGGCCAGAATGGGGGACACAGCAATGTGAGACAGTCAGAGGGCTCCCACTAATGCTCCAGGCATTCATTCTGGGCTGGGCCGGGGGGACTCCCAGGCAGGCTGCTCCTAGGGAGCCTTCAGGCCTAGGAGGAGGTAGAAGCCAGAGCTAAGTCTTAGTACTGCTGTCACTTCCCTCCATGATGTCCTTGCCCAGATACACTTCTTTTCCTCCCTCAAGTCTGTGCTTAAATATCATCTTCTCTAGCGGGGTCTTTCCCAGCCACATGACTCAAATCACAGCCTCTCCTGCCCTGCTTTCTTTCCCCTACTTTTTCTCCCTAGTGTTTAGTACCCTCTAAATTATCAAAGATACTCATTTATTTCATTCGTCTCGCTCTATTGATTGTGAGCTCAGAGTACAGGGATCTTTACGTTTTGTCCACTGATATCCCCAGGCTCTAGAACGGTACCTGGCACAGTATCACTGCTCATAGGTAGAGCACCCCCAGGTTTAATCCCCAGTGCTGATGAAACAAAGCAGAACATTCAGTGTGGTGTGGGAGGAGGGGAGAAATAGGGTAGAAGAAGGAAAATACACCACCCAGAGAGAGGTGCTGTTAATATTTTGGTGACCATGCTTCCAAATAATGCTTAAAGTACCTCTAGATCTGCCAAAACCAGGAAAAGTTTGGACTTTTTTTTACTTTTTTTTTGGTACTGGGGATTGAACTTGGGACCTTGTGCTTGCGAGGCAGGCGCCGGAACCACTGAGCTAAATCCCTGGCCCTGGTCTTTTTTACTTTATGAGGCTATTTCTTAAAATGTTCTCAATCTAAGCTAATGGTGGAAATCTGGAGTAAGATGTGTAAAGGCAATTCTACCGGGGCCTGTATGCTGTGGTTCAAGGACTCAGCTCGTTGATGCTTTCCTTTCCTAGACACAGTGATAATTTGGTGTCCCTAGAGGATGGATGGGCCTTTATTCCCGCCTGGCAAGTTTCACTGATATGGTTGGTTCCACAGAGCCATTTGCTACACATCAGATAGGTCTGAGGTGGAGGCTCCCTTCTTTTTTTTTGTGGTACCGGGGATCGAACTCAGGACCTTGTGCTTGCAAGGCAGGTGTGGTGCCACTGAGCTAAATCCCCGGCCCTAGGGGGCTCCTTTCTTGATGGGCCCTGGAGAGCAGGGACTCTGGGAGTGCAGTTGAGAAAAGAGCCTTGGCTGACTTTCAGCCAAGCAGGGGGCAGAAGTGACGTCACCATATGAAAGGCAGAGGAGCCAGGCAGGGTGGTGCACGCCTGTAATCCCAGCAATCTGGGAGGCTGAGGCAGGAGGATCAGAGTTCCAGCCCCAGACTTAGCGAGACCCTGTCTCAAAATAAAAAAAATACAAAAAAAGGGCTGGGGATGTAGCTTAGGGCAAACACCCTGTGTTCAATCTTTAGGAAAAAAAATACCTTAAAAAAAAAAAAGAGGCGCCTGAGCAGTTCCCAGTCCTGAACAAAAGGTTAAGTCACCCATCAGGAACAAACCTTGGGTCGGCTCCCATACCCAGAGCTGAGTTTTTGAAATAGCCAGAGCAGGTAAGGCATGATGGTGCACACCTGTAATCTCAGCACTTGGGAGGCGGAGGCAGGAAGATCACTGCATATTTGAGGTCAGCCTGGGCTACACAGTGAGTTCAAGGCCAACCTGAACTACATAGTGAGACCCTGTGCACAAAAAGAAAAGTAAATAAATACAACGGGGAAGTGAAACGGCCAGAGTTAGGTCTCCATGGCTGGCCAAAGCTGGAGGGCCTCGTGCTGAGGTGTCTGGGGAAAGCAGAGCACAGCTGCTACTCTAGTGCCAGGGTGGGGAAAGGAAAGCAGCTTTGAAAAAAAAAAAAAGCACAACTACTTTTTTTTCTTTTTGGTACCGGGGATCAACTACTTTTTGGGGGGGGGGGTTTACCGGGGATTGAACTCGGACCTTATGCTTGCAAGGCAGGCGCTGGATCCACAACTACTTTTTATAAACTATATAAGAAAACCTTTAGCCTCAGACAATTAACTTGCTGCTGAGGATGCTCAGGAGTACTAGTCACCCAACACGAAGTTAGTAACGGAGTGTGGACACTTGCTGCGAGAATTTATTTATTGCAAGTCAGGCAAATGTCTGGCAGTGCCTACAAAGCATGACGTTGGATGTTATGGGTGCTGAACTACAGGCCTGTGTTACATTTCACGCTTGGCAATAACTGGGGCCACCGCTAGTTCATAATGAGAGAGCAAGGCCACTTTCCTATTTTCTGTGACAGGATGACAAGCATTCAGCTCATCCTCACACAGTAGCCAATAATTCCGGTATAAACGAAGAAGAAGCCAGGTGTGGTGGCACACACCTGTATTCCCAGATATTCAGAAGGCTGAGGCAGGAGGATCGTGAGTTTGAGGCCAGCCTGGCCTACTTAGTGAGAGCCTTTCTCAAAAAGCTGAAAAAACAAAAAAGCACAGAGGGCCATCCTTCTGAATGCTTCCGTCCTCGGAACCAGGAAGTGGCCTGAGAACAGGCCGTGACTCCATGTAGGTGGCCTGCATGGGGCTCCTGCAGCTTAACCAGAATCTAAGACCATAGAATCTGAGAGAGAGAAGCAAAGGCCAAGTGCACCTGCAACATCAGGGACGTGTGATACTCCTGCTGCCCACAGGCTGGGGCGGGATACACTTCACCACAAAAGGGGGCAGTGGAGACTGCTCCGTGAAGGCAGCGAATGTGATACGGGCCACCTAGTGAGTGATTCCGGGATGGGGAAGAAGGGAAACACAACAGGAGCTGTTTGGGGATCAGTGGGGAGAATCTCAGACTGACTCAGGGAAACTGGATCACACACAATGCCAGCTAAGCTGACAGCTGCCTGTGGGGTTGCAGGAGGAGCAGAGGCTGGGGGGGGGGGCTTCGTGGAGCCAAGTGCTAGGTGAGCACACCAGCTTGCTGTGGGCCGGGGCTGGCCCCAGGCTCCACAGAGGGAGTGAGTTAAGCAGGGCGTGGGGGCGAGCGGCAAACAGCCTCTCACAGATCAGTGGCCACACTGGACCTAGCCAGGGAAGGTACTGACTCTGGCCTGATAGCTCCCTCCCCTGCCTGGACCTTGGGATTTTCTGGGGTCTCCTTCAAGCAGGGGACTTTAGTGGTTTTATATGAAGCAATGCCCCAGAGGCTTGAGAGGGAGTGGCAGTGAGCCCCAGGGGTGTCTGAAAAGAAACCTGAAATCCCAGCACTCTGGGAGGCTAGGAGGCTAAGGCACGAGGATCACAAGTTGGAGCCCAGGCTGGGCAATTTGCTGACAGTGAGATCCTGTCTCAAAATTTAAAAAAAATGTTTTTCTTTTTGTTTGGTGTTTTCTTTTCTTTCATTCTTTTTTTTTCCCCCCTTTGGTACCAGGGATTGAACTTGGGACCTTACGCTTTTGAGGCAGGTGGCAGCACCACTGAGCTAAATCCCCGGCCCTCTTTTCTTTTTTAAATAAAGAAAATTTTAATAAGAGCTGGGGATGTAGCTTAATGTGAAGATCCTAGGTTCAATCCCTAGTACTGAAAAGAAAGGAAGAGAGGAAGAGTGACAGGAAGAAAGGAGAAAGGAAGGAAGGAAGGAAGAAAGGAAGGAAAGAAAGAAAAGAAACTTTAAAATCACACTGCTCTGCCTGACTGGGGTCAGTGAGGTGGAACAACAGACTTGGACCAGAGAGGTGGGAAAGGCACAGGGAAGAGACAAAAGTCAAGGGTGTGGGGTGGAGATGGAGGACACCAGCTGTAAACTGGTAGGGCTAAGAGGTCCTGCTCAGTGTTCACGGCACAAATGTCAGAAACTTGGGGTCTACAGAATTGGGGTCAGGTCACATTTGGGTAACCAGCGTAGAGGAAGGATAGTCCTCTCTTGCCATGTCAAAGCTCCCCTGAGGTTGAGGACTCAAGGTCGGGCTAGGCAGGGGAGGAGAGGGGAGGTATCATGACTTCAACTCTGTGACTCAGCAGCCGCCCCACTGCCTGGACAGAGTTGTCCTCAGGGCCTGCTACACCGGGTCTAAGGCGGGGGAAGAAGGTGGGCAGAGAGAGGCCAGTGCTTAATAATTAATGGCTTCTTCTATTTTTACAGTTGCTCATGGTAGTGGGCAGAAGGAGCACAGTGCACCTAGGGCTATGCCTGTCCCAACCATCTCCTTCCAATCAAAGACAGGATCTCCAAGGCCAAGCTTCTGGGAAGTGAAGTCCAGGCTTGCCCTGGGGGCACAGGAAAACAGACTCAGAGGGAGACCAGATGGACGATGAGAAAACCACTCCCTGCGCCACCCAGAGGGCACCAGGGAACTGCTGTGCAGATGACAATTTGGGGACTAGGTGAAGGGAAGGGGGAGGCATCAGTCAGCTGATCCCCACCCCCAGTGTGGTGTCCTTTGGCTAGTGCCTCACCCCACCATCCAGCTCTCTGTGCCTGGTCCCCAAGGTCAGAGTGGGGGCTGGTGCCTCCATAGCTGTGCCTGGGACTTCTGCTGCCTCCTAACCTCTCTGTCAGTCTTTGCACATAGCTCCAGGTCTTGGTACAAGCATCCCTCCCCCTGGCATGCCAGGAGACTGGGGTCAAACCTTTCTGAGTCTCTGTTCTCCCTGTCTCTGGGTTGAGGAGCCTGCAGAACTACTGGGACACAGTTGTTAGTTTGATCCCATTTCTGTCTTCTCTGCTGGAATGTGCAAGCCCCTGAGGGCACAGATTATGTCCCCAGGTGTTCAGGATCAGCTTAGCACCTGGCCCATGGTAAGCAGACACTTGGTTTTTGGTGGAAAACTCCAGTTTCTTCCATGACTATCTTGCTACTGGTTTCCTTCTTGTTCCTAGGCTGCAGTTACCACTGGTGCTGCAGATCAGCAGGGCCCAAGAACTGAGGCCCATCACCCACAAGACCCCAGATCATAGCTGCTCAGCCCTACAGGAATCTCCGTACCTCTCCCTCCCCAGAAGCCGTGTATCTCCCACCCCTACTCCCTGGTTACTTCTTCCCACATCTGGGCCGGGCACAGTGCCAAACCTTCATTAGGGGCACAGGAACTAAATGAGACTGCAACAGTATCAGCATCTGTTTCCCAGGGAGGCCATCTTCGCCAGAACTCAGCTTCTGATCTTGCCTTCTAATCCTGCCTCTTCCAGGAAGGCATCCCCTAATGCTGGACCACTGATGCTTTGTTACCAGCAGGCCTCTTCCACTCACCCAGGTATGCTGAGACAGTCATGGCTGTGGTTATTCCTAGCTCCCAAGATGATATCTGGCATTCAAGTGGGACGAATAGGTGTTTGGGAAATGGAAAGTTTTGGGGACAGTGTCCATGGGGAGGGGTATGTCGCAGCCAGTGTGGGGCATCTCACTGCAGGGAGCTGAGGCTGGAGTCCAGAGCACACAGCACAGCAGGGTCTAGCCCAGTACCCTCCATGCCACATCGGTCCCCCTGAGGCTTGATTAATCCACAGTTCAAGGACAGTGCCTCATTGCGTGTGCATCTTGGCTATGTGGGGAAGTGGGTCAGGGCCAGGAAACAAAGGCACCAGGATATAGGTGGATGCCTCCTGCCATAGCTCTGGGGCCCCAGGGGATGGAGACTGAGGCGTGATGACACACACTGCACCAGGCTTGTACCCACACCATCCAGGCCTGCAGGTGACTGTGGAAAGATCACTTCTCCCTGGACCCTTCCAAGAATGAGGCACCCTGGGGCCGCAGAGGATAGCTCTGACTCTGCTCTGGCAGGCCTTGGGCTTGACCCTCTCAGGGCTCCTTCCTGTCCCAACAGCCCCACCCCTGCTCCCAGTCATGCCACTTCGGCCACCACATCACCAGTTTCTGACCCCTTTCCAGTTGTCCTTTCTGCCCTCAGATAGAGGGGTGGGGTGGTATGTGGAAGTGGCTTACTCTGGGCCCCACACCAGATTCTCTGAGTCCTGAGCCGTTTTGGAGGGGCTTCTGGAGGGGAGGGGCTAGGCAACTTGTCCCTCAGGAAGGCAGAATGGAGGAGACTCCACTTTCCGCTTCTTCCCTGGCATGGTCCCCACACCACCCCCTTCCTGAGTAGACAGAAGAGAGTTGGAGAAACTTCCTGGGAGTCTTAAAAGCTCAGAAGTCCTGGCAGGAATAAGTGCTGCTGGATTTGAAATGAAACTCTGTCCCTCTGTACACAGCATCCTCGGGCCTCCAAAGATTTCCAGCCAGGGGCCAGCCGTACGAGGGGGACCTGGGCAGTTGGTGCCTCTAAGCTGAGGTAGGAGAGATAGGTGATGGATGCCCCGTCGACTGGAGAGCTAAGGATCACCCCCGCCCCCACTTTTGCAGGTCTCCTCGGTCCGTCCCGGCCAGCGGCCCTGTCTCCGCGTCCCCTTCCCGCGGACGCACCACTCCTAGGAGTCGGGCGCACCAGATCCTGCATAGCCCTTCCCGGGGTGATACCGCCCAACAATGGAGTGGCGGCGGGGTCGTGGGGTTCACCCCCTTCGCTGCCCGCCGCGCTCACCCTGCTCCAGGTCCTGCTGGTCGTACCAGGGCTCCTCTTCCTCTGCGAAGTCCTCCATCCCGGCCGCTCTCCGCATGGCCCTGCGGGCGGTGGTGGGCGGGCGCTGCGGCTGCGCGGCTCAGGGCCGGGACGCGGGGCCCGGGACAATGCGGCGGAGGCGGGCCGGGCCTCCCGCGTCGCGCACTCGGGCTGCCGCGTCCCCGCCCTCGCCGCGCCCCCTCGCCATCCACCGCCGGCCGGGCGCCCACCCGGGCCTGGCGAGGCGCTGCGGTCACGCCCGGCCGGGGATCGGGCGCAGCTGGGGGCCCCGAGCGGCAGCGGCACAAAGGGTGAAGGGGTGGGGACGGCGGGCGGGACGGCGGCGGAGAGGGTCCGGGGCCGCCGGCAGGTCCGAGGGGTTAGGAGTGCTCCGGTGCCGCGGTGCGCACGCCCCGCCCGACTCCGGCCCGCACGGTCCCGGGCCCGCCTGGCGACACCCGGAGCCGCCGCTGCATCTTGGCGGGGCCCGCCTGCAGCTTCCCGAGTCGCCAGCCCTGCGGGGTGGGGCTGGCCGCCAGCGACCAATCAGGAAGGGTATGCAAAGCTGGAGGCGGAGCCAAGGGTGGGACCTTTCTCGTGTCCTGGTCTGGGAGTTGCTGGATCAGTGCACTGGTCCTCCCAGTGTCCACGTCGGACTTCTTCAGTTCACGTCTATCTGATCTACTCGAAATGATCTTACGTTGTTTACCTGTTGTATCTCCTAGGTCTCCGGTTCGCTACGAATCCTCACCGCGTAGACCAGACTGGGCCTTTTATACCTTCCATGGACTTTCTTTGAATATTATTTTGGAATTACCTTAAAGAACTTGAGGGTTTAAAAGCCTATGGCCAGAAATTGCAGGCTAGGAGTGGGGAGGTTTCAAGGCGTCTTACAGTTCTTGCATTATCTTGAAGGTCCTGTCTCCCTTTCTTCGGGACCTGTAACCTAAATCCAATTATATCCTCTAAAAGCACACCTACCCAAGCACTCTTTCCTTAAAGGAATTTTCAGGATCAACCATTCATGTAGCTCATTTTTTTCTGGGACACACCATGTGCTGGCACTGACATACTCTGAGTCTGCCTCTGAATAAATGCCGCAATATATTCAATTCATGACCTGTGCCCAGACTGTAGCAAGAATACCTGCAAATCCACAAGCAAAAAGGCGTACAGCCCAGGAGAAAAATGTGTAAAAGACTTAGACAATTCACAGAGAAGGATATCCAAGTGACCCAATAAACATACAACAAGGAAATGTATCAAGAAAGTGCAAATTAAACACACATGAGATACTACGACTGTGGTCATTTGGATCTTAAATGTCTCCCAAAAGCCCATGTGGTTACAGTGTAATTCCAGGGTGATGGTGTTGAGCGGTAGGGCCTATTGGGAGCCTTATTACTTCACTGGGGGCGTCCTTGATTGGTCTCTCCTTGTTTTCTTACTTGCTGGCAATGATATGCGTGGTTTTGTTCCACTACATGCTCCTGCCATGATGACCTGCCTTGCCACAGGTCTAAAAAGCAGCAGGACCAATGATCACAGACTGCAATCTCCAGAACTATGGACCAAAATCTTCTCTCTCTATAAATTGGTGTGTTAGTATCTTTCCATCACTGTGATGAAATACCTGTGATAAATCAGCTTACAAGGAAGAAAGATTTGTTTTGGTTCAGAGGTTTCAGTCCCCGTTGCCTTTGGGCCTTTGGTAAAACAGTGCATCAAGGTAGGAAGTGCTCACTTCTCCACAATCAGGAAGCAAAAAGAGAGATAGGAAGGGTCTGAGATTCTAACACCCCCTTTAGGAGCCTGCTTTCAATAACAACTTCCTTTCATTAGGCCTCACCTCCCAGTAGTGCCGCAGGCTGGTGTCCACACCTTTATTTAGCACATGGGCCTTTGGGGTACTTCCACACTGTAGGTTGGTCATCTCAGTTATCTGTTATAGTGACAGAAGCTAACACACACTACTTACACAACAGGGTGACCTTAAAATATAAAAGTCAGGAAATGCCTAGTGTTGACAAGAATATTGAGCAACTGATACTCTGTCACTGCTGACGGGACTGTACATCAGGGAGACCACCTTAGAGTGCTGGTCGATAAGATGTAGGAAAGTGAACAAGGTGGTGCAGGCTGGATTCCCCAGCAACTGGTCTGTGGTGGAGATTAGCTTAGCCTGCTGGAAGCTGGTTAGGGAGTGCTTTCTGGGGAAGAGCACAAGGAGTTGCTGGGATGGGGTGTAGGCTCAACAAAAGCCTCCCCTGATCCCTGAAGAGCTCTCACTCTGGATGACCCTTCAAAGATACTCTAAGTGGCAATGGAGAGGGGGGCCTTTATGTCCCCCTTTTGCACGTATCAACCATCACGGAACAGATACAAGCTGCCACTGGGAAGTGGCTTGATCTTGGCTACAGGAGTTCTTTTCAGCAGAGGCAAGTTCTCAGAGGGGTCTGGCAGGTGAGGACGGTCAGCTAGCAGCCCACTCAGCAGCTGGGGGAATAGGTCCCGAAGGAGCATCTGTGGGTTGAATCGTGGCATCCTCTATATATGGAAGTCCTATGACCCAGCTACTCTGTTCCTATACACATGCAACAGAAATAGGTACATATGTGACCAAAAGGCATGCACAAGAATGTTCCTAGCAACATTATCCATATTGGCTCATTCTGGAAACAACCCAAATGTCTGCCAACAGTTGAGGAATATAGTATTCATGTAATGGGATATTATATAGTACAAATTAAAAGTTAGGGTATAGTACAGATACAAATATTCATATCCATTTCCCAGTGTTCCATAACAAACTGCCCTAAATACGATGGCTTGACAGAAGATACACTTATTATTTATAGTTCTGTAGGTTAGAAGGCTGACATGGTTCCCACCAGCTTAAGTCAAGGTGGTGGCACAGCTGCGTCCCTTCTGGTGGCTCAGACCTCCCCTCCCACCCTTCTGTACTTCTGTGTGTCATTAGGATGTAATGGTGTTAGGATGTAATGGTGTAATGAATAATCCTAGATCATCTTCCTATCTCTTAGCTGCATCTGTAAAGTTCCTCAATGCTGTGCAGGGAATATATTCAGATATTGGAGGATTCAGATGTGGACATTTTTGTTTTTGTTTTGTTTTTAGTACTAGGAATTGAACTCGGGTCCTTGTGCTTTCGAGGCAGGAGGCGAAACCACTGAGCTAAATCCCTGGCCAGATGTGGACATTTTTGAGCTCATGATTGTGGCTGTTACAATACTGTATGACCTCATTTATATAAACTCCAAAATGAGCAAAAGTAATCAGGATTGTGTTTGGTCCTGAAAACACATGGGAGAAACTCTAAGGTCTCCAAGGTGACTTATTCATTTATTTATGGTGGTGCTGGGGATTAAACCCAGGGCCTTCACACTGAGCTACACCCCAGCCTCACACTCTATTATTTTGTGACAGGGTCTCACTAAGTCAGTAAGTTTCCCAGGCTGGGCTGGAACTTGTGATCCTGCTGCCTCAGCCTCCCAGAGTGCTGGGATTACAGGCATGCACCACTGTACCCACCAAATTATTATTATTATTATTATTATTATTATTATTATTATTATTATTTTGCTAATGTAAGAGTTGCTTTAATTCTTGAGAGTAAATTTAAAGACCATACTTTTAATGTTCACATCCCAGAAAAAGAGACAGTGCCACCAAGGATCCCAAGGGGTCTGCAGAACTGACCCTGCACTACTTTGGCATGACAGTGTCCAAGGGCTTGGGTTCTTAATTTGCTTTTTGCAATACAGTAGGTCCCTGACTTACAAACATTCAAGTTGCAAACTTTTATAGATACTAACAGACCTTGATGCAAACTCATGTTAAGTAGCTCACGTGTACTGCAGACATTGTCACAGTTGTGCTGGTGTGTTTAATGTACAGTGTGATAGTGTACTACTGTACTACTGTACAGTACAGTTGAGGACTTACTTTATGTATGTTTGGTTTCTTATGCTTTACATTGTATATTTGCATCAGATCACCAAATTATTTTTAATTTAATTTAAAAATTAAGTAAGGATGCTATCACTGTAACTATTTTGAAGTGTACAGCTCAAGGGGTATTAAATATGCTCATAATGTATAGCTCAATATCATCTATCTCTTGAACTCTTTTCATCTTGTAAAACTGAAATTCTGCTCCCATTAAACACTAATTCCCCCTTTGGAAGTGTTTTACTTTCTGATCTGGGTGCTCATTACACAGGTATGTTCACTCTGTGAAAGTTTATCTACCTGTAGGTGCCAGAACCATTGAGCTAAATCCCTGGCCCTGTATATATATTTTTTGGTACTGGGGATCAAACTTGGGACCTTGTGCTTACGAGGCAGGCAGCTGAAACACAGAGCTAAATCTCTGGCCCTGAAGATATTTAATAAAAGAGTTTTCTTAAGAAGGAGTAAAACCCCAGCCAATGGCTGTGGCACAGGCAGTACCTGCTCTTGTGCAATTTTCTTTCTGGGGGAGGAAATACATAAATGACCACAACCTGCAGTGTGTGCTATGAAGGAAATTAATGAGGTGCTGAGTGAGTTTGGGGGATGCAGATCCAGCATTTCAGAAAGGCTTCCCTTAGAAGGTGACATCTAAGCTGATATGTAAAGGATGAGATGGCACCGGCCATGCCGAGCTCTGGGGGATAATGTTCCCCCAGGAGACCTCAAGGTCAAGGGCCCTGAGGTAGGAAAGAGCTTGACTATAAATTGGGAACCAAGCAAAGCCTGGCATGGCTGAGGGGAATTAAGTAGAGAAGAGATTAGAGTTAGAGCCATGGGAAGGGGTCAGGATTTTTTCCCTCTAAGAGGGCAAGAAAAGGCTTTTTTATTTTCACTTGTAAAATAATCACTTTGGTAGTTTTGGAGCACAGAATTGTAGGGAGCAAGGAGATCAAGTTGAAGCCTTTTGCACGAGTCTAGAAGGGAGGTAATGCATAGGTGGAGAGGAAGGAAGGTGGAGAGAGATGAGAAATATCTTGGGTAAGATGAGCAGATGAATTGACTGAAGCATCAGAGCAATGTCTTAGACTTCAGTCTCCAGTAATAGGGAGACAGTAATGCCATTCATGGAGGTGAGGACAGAATGAGTCCAAGGGCCCAGGCTCCAGTGGGACCTGGTCA